CTGCCCTCTCCGTGTGACTTCACACCCCCTCTGGTGGCTTCATCACTCTTCCCACTGTTCCCTCTGACCACCCACCGCCCCGCCCAGGACCTTTGGCTCAGTGACCACAGATAAGCCCGCGGGACAGCTGGGGCAGCTGCTTGGCCGCTGCCCTGGAGGCCCGCTGGCCGGTGGAGCCAGCGGCCGGACGGATGAGTGCAGAGCGGGCCGCAGGGCCGCCCGTGTGCTGCGGACAAGCATCTAACCCGGCGGGCAGGGCAAGGGAGGGGAGAGCTGGGAAGGCTCCCTAAAGGAGGCGGCACTCCGTGCATCTTCAGGAAGGAGTAGGAGTTAGGTGGGAAAAAGAGGGGGTTCCTCCAGGCTGAGGAAGTTGGATACACAAATAATAATTGTGAATCCGTACGGAGTTATCATGATGTTCCTGTATTTTGTCCTCAGAGCAATCTTACTAGGAAGTATAGTAATTATCTCCATTTTACAGATGAGGAAACCGAGGCGCGGGGAAGTTAAGTGACTTCCTGGCTGGTAGGTGGTGGATCCAGGATTCAGCCCACTAAGCAGGGAAGAGCCTCAGTCAGTGGGGGAGGCTGTGGGGGGTGGGGGGTAAGAAGAGCTGAGGGCCAATGGTTTCCCCTAGGGGCAGCTGGGGGCAGGAAGGGACTGGAGCAGGAATGGCTGGTGGCAGGTGGCAGGAATGTTGGCCTTGGAGCTGTCGGCAATGGGTTAGGGCCAGGCAGGGACCTAGGTCAACAGCATGGTGGCCGGGTGGTGGCAATGGTGAGGATAGTGGTGGGGAGTGGGGGGTGGAAGACATGATAATCTGAGAAATGATCGGGTGGCTTGCTGTCCTGGGAGGATAGCAGTATGGTCACAGGAAATCTGAAAGGAGTTGGTTTGGTTGGGTTGCCTGTGGGGTACCTGAGAGAGAGGCAGGCTGGAGGCAGGTCCTTGGAGGAGTTGGAGGCCTCTGACCCTCAGCCCTCCCAACTTCCCTGGGGTCTGAATGGGGTTTGGGCCTTGCATCCATCTCTCCAGGTCCCCCCGTGTGCATATGACAGGCCTGACCTGTCCCACCCACAGTCTCAAAGGGAGATTCTGAGTCCACCCACCCGCTATAGATGCTCCATAGATGAGGGAGCACCTATGAACAACTGTCCCCGGCCAGCTCATGTGGCACAGATTTATTTATTTAGCAAATTATTGAGCTACTACTATGTTCCAGGCACTAAGGATGCAGCAGGGAACCGACAGTCAAGGGCCCCATTCCCTGGAGCCTGGGACTGCAGGCGGAACACTGACTGCTCAGACCTCCAGGTTCACATACCTGCTCCCTACCTGCCGGGAGCGGTGCTTGCCTACAGCCTGTTCCTCGGCCATTAAATTAGCTAATATGTGAAGACACTTAGAGCAAAGGACACTCTGTGCAGAATTTATCCCTGCTGTTGCTCATATTGTTACTGTCGTTACAAACAGAAGGCCACCCCAGACACAAGAAAAGGCACTGTCTCAGCGAGTCCTGTCAGAGTAGGAAGGGGCAGAGGGACCTGAGGCCCAGAGAGGGTAGCAGAGCCTCTTCATTCTGGGCCCAGCGTTATACCTGCTCCTGGCCAGGTATCCTATAAAGGCCGGATGGCCAATGAGGCTTTATTTTAATTATAAAATAAAGTTATAAACCAGTAATTATAAATAAAACCAGCTGTCAGCAAGCTGAGAATTGTAAAAACCGCTGGCCTTTGTCATTCCACTCGGGTGGCACTCCTCTAACTTCATTTTTCTTATAACTCCAGGATCTAATAGCTCCTTGAAAGGGGACCCATCCCATAGTTGAGGACAAGGCGTGTCTCTCTGTGTGTCAAAGGGCAAGCAGCTAACAGGCAAGGTTGTTTTAGTTTTTAAAAATGCAGTCTTAGTGTTTTTACAGATATTTACAGCAATTAGTAGCAAGTACAATGTTTTCATATTGAAAAAACCCCCAGCTAAATATGACATTAGGATTAAGTTCTGTGTGACTTTCAACTGTCACAGAGTTGACCATTGGAGGTGGGTCTGAAAGAGTCCAGGTAGCATAGCTTGGCGGTGAAGCAAGCGGGCTCCGGAGTCAGGCCACCTGGGTTCAGTTCCTAGCTTTGGCCTCCGGCTGTGTGACCTTGGATAAGTTGCTTAACCCCTCTGTGCTTTGGTTTCATCATCTGTAAATCGGAAATATTGGTTTCGCCTTCTTAGTGGTGCTGTAAAGCTCAGATGAGTTGTCGTGGGTGAAGTGCCGAGAACACAGGAGGGGTGCTAGTGAACGTCACTTACTGTCGTGACGTGAAGTGATCGGTAATCTTGCTGTACCTGTGTCTGGTCCCTGTGCGGCATGAGGCAATGAGGCAGTGCAGGAGCACCCACCGCGGTCCTAACTAAGTGGTATGGGGGCTGCCCAGCATCACATACATAGTAACTTACAGGCTATGATTAAAAAGAAAAAGAAGCTGTTTCTCTTGGGGATAAAAACAACTTGCAGAGAAAGCCAGTCACAGTCGCTGACGGTGGAAGTGGGAAGTGGCCCAGAGGAGCCATGTGTTCCCCGGTGTTTCAGGGGAAAGTGACCTTTAGGTTCTCTGAAGCGCGGGGTCAGATCCTTGACAATGTCTAGGGCCTATTGGACAAGCCCATGGCATACACATCCTGACCATGACTAGCTCAGGTTTCCCGGAGAGGGAGGCTTCAGGGAGGAGGTGTGGAGAAGATACACAATTAAGAGCACCCACTGTGCGCGTTTGTGTTTACTGTGAGGACAAGAAGCTGCGTGAGCCACGCAGGAGCAGGACAGGCCCAGTCTCCAGGCCGGCGAGCTGGTGGGGTGACAGGAAGACAGTGGTACAGGGGGAGAGCTTTCGTGGAGAATATGGCCTAATGTATAGTCTGACGGCCAGCAGGAGCGCTGGCATTGCTGGCCCGTGTGGAGCCAGTTAGAGATGTCTCCTCTGAGGGTACCAGTGAGAAGGAAGACACGCGTCCCCTTGCTCTGCGTTGGGTGCAGTCCTGCAGCGGGCGCAGGGCTCGGCTGGCAGGGCTTGGGCTGGACTTTAGCTCCCGCTGGGCTGGTGGACGACCTGTGCAACTACACCTGGTGGTGCTAGAGGCCACCGGAGGCTCTTGATCAAAACAGGGCCAGGGAAGAAGCAGAGCTGTCAGCGCTGCGGAGGGTCTGCCCCCGGGGGCCCCTGAGCTCCCCCCACGTGTCCCCAGAGATGGGGGCCGCTGCTCCTTGCCGGCGGCCGCCCGTGCCCTGCCTCCTCACTGTCTGTTTTCCTCTCTGGCTGGGCGCGGGGCGGCCCCTAGGTGTCCAGCCACATACAGGTTCTAGCTCGGAAGAAGGTGCGGGAGTACCAGGTTGGCATCAAGGTATGTTGGGCGCCTGACCGGGGCCTCCAGCCCCTCCTGGGCCCCTTCCCCACGGCGCCTGCACCACTGTATCTGCACGGCTCAGGCCTTGGCCTCGGCCGGCTCCGGCCCCACTGTGCCTCTTTTCCGGCTGAAGCTCTGTTCTTGTGTCTTCTTCCACTCTCTCTGCTCTTTTTCTTTCTCTCTCTCTCTCTCTGCAGGTCTCTAGCCACTTGCAGGTTCTAGCCAGGCGGAAATCTCGGGAGATTCAGTCCAAGCTGAAGGTACGGGGTCCCTGCCGCCTGGCTTGGCCCTGCCCAGGCCTGTGGCTGCTCTCTGACCCCAGCTCAGGGCAGGGAGCAAGAGGCCCAAAGGCCGCTGCTGGCGACACAGGGCCTCTAGAGACTGGGCAGGAGCCCCCCAGGAAGCCAGCCCACAGGGAAGGAGAGGAAGGCCCTCTGGGGGCCACTGCGGCCCACCTCTCTTCTCCGCTTTCCTCTCTTCTCCTTCCTCCTACTTGCCACTTGCTAACTGCATGGGGACTTCAGGGGGGCAGGGAGGGGACACTGGAGGGTGCTGGCTGGCAGAGCTATTGTGGTGAGCATGGCTGTTCCTTGCATTGGACACTCGATCCTGGCTGCTCTGTGCCTGAGGATCTCAGAGCCTGGGGTTCATGACCTGGGCCCTCGTCAGGGCCCCCGCAGGCTGTGACATCTTCTCTGCGCCCATAGCTGCCCAGCAGACTGGGCCTCCCAGCCCAGCTGTCCGTGCCTGTAGCACAGCTGTGGAGGACGTGGACAGACCCAAGGGGCACCAGCCTGTCCTCCATCATCCTACCCTGTCCAGGGCACCCCCAGCTTACAAGCACTCCCTCTGGGTGGCAGTGGGGTGGCGGGGGAGGTAGTGGGGCGGGGGTAAGGTCCACAGCTGCCTCTGAGTTCCTCTGGGCTCCTCGGAAGCTGAGAGCCAGGTGGGCATTGATTGGAGGGAGGTGAAAAGACCCGTCCCCCACCCCATGCAGCCGTCGTTTGTGCCTCTTCTAACCCCTCTCCCTTCTTCTCCTTCACAGGCCATGAACCTGGTAAGTAGCACTGCCCCTCCCCTAGGGGAGCTTGGAGGGAGATCATCTAATATAAGATTTTCAAATTATGGATTGTAAATCAATTTAACAGGTTCTCAAACTTTAGCATGCATCAGAAGCGCCTGGAGGGCTTGTGAAGACATATTTCTGGGCCTCACCCCCAGACTCTCAGATTCAGTGGGTCTGAGCTGGGGCCTGAGAATTTGCATTTCTAACAAGCTTTCAGGTGATGCTGGTGCTATTGGTCCAGGACCATACTTTGAGAACCACTGGTGAAATAGAATTGGAAATTTGACCTGGGCATGATACAAATAAGGGAAAATATTCTGGTACATACTGGGTTATAGAATAAAATAAAAGTATTTCTTAACTGTGCATTGTGGTAAGTGGGGTAATGTACACTTAGGAGACAGGCACAGAGAGGGGCTGAGGCTCTCCTTAGCCCACGAAGCAGAGCTGGGGCTGTAATCCAGACCTGGGCTTCCAGAGCCCTGATTGCCTGGGAGGGGGCCCCTGGGGCAAGCCCTTGTCCTGCCTCTGGCCTGGCTCAGGCCTCATGTGACCCCTCCCTAGGACCAAGTCTCCAAGGACAAAGCCCTCCAGAGCATGGCGTCCATGTCCTCTGCCCAGATTGTCTCCGCCAGCGTCCTACAGAACAAGTTCAGCCCACCCTCCCCTCTGCCCCAGGCCGTCTTCTCCACTTCCTCACGGGTACAGGGGTCCTGGGAGGTGGGGCTGGGGTGAGGGACTGCCTTCAGGGCCGGGCTGTGGTGAGGGTCATGGATACTGAGGGGCCTCTGGGCTTTGCCCCATCTCTGCAGTTCTGGAGCAGCCCCCCTCTCCTGGGACAGCAGCCTGGACCCTCTCAGGAGTGAGTATTGGGGCGCATCCTTCCCACACCCTCTTCTTTCCTTTGGCAGCCACACTAGACTTCCCCTCTCACCTGGGTTCCAGCAACAGCTGAGCAAAGTTTTAATTCAAAAACAGAGGGATGGAGAGTGCCAGTAAGAGCTAAGGCATTTGTCTGTTCATTCATGTGTCTGTTCATTCATCACCTCACTCATCCACTTGTCATCTGTCCTTCAGTTATTTTTCACTCAGTTAATCTCTGAATTCATCTCACAGTCAACACGTCAAGTAGTCAGAGATACCCGTTCCCTCAACTCTAAGATGACTTTCTTCCCGAGACACGCCCTCCGTTTAAGAGCCACTCTTCGGGGGGGGTTGAAACACTATATTACGTGTGCATGTCCGTTGTGAGATGCGGCAGGATTTCACAAACGTTACAGCGTGAAGGAAACAAAAGCTGCGAGTGAGCCTGTCAGCAGTGTGCACTTCTGGGCCTCTGCGGGAAGGCTGGGGGGCTCCCTGTGGGATCCCAGATGAGACCCCAAGTGGCTAGGCCAGGTGGAAGGTAGGGAGGGGTGACCCTCTAACCAGGCTGTGCTCCTGTCCGCAGCATCAAGCCCTTTGCACAGCCAGCCTACCCCATCCAGCCGCCCTTGCCACCACCGCTCAACAGTAAGTTCCCCGTGACACGGCCACCACCACCTGTCCCTCCCTTGGCACCTGCACCCTCTGCTCAGAAGAGCTGGGGCCCAGCTGTGTGTGTGTGTTTGTGCTGGGAGAGGGGAGTGGGTGGCATCTGTAGGGATCAGGACAGACCGAGGATAGTCCCCTTAACTTTTACAGCGTTGCATCCACAACTGCTACAAGCACACACCACCAACAGTATTACACTTACAGACTATAAAGTTCCTTATAAGGAAATACACCGAAGTCTTAACAGAGTGTCACTCTCTCTAGGTGTTGGGATTCTGGATAATTATTTTAAATATGTTTTTATTGATTTTAGAGAGAGAAGAAGGGAGAGGGAGAGGGAGAGAGAGGAGGAAGCATGGATGAGAGAAACATCCATCGGCGGCCTCCCACGTGCCCCCTGCTGAGGACCCAGCCGCAACCTGGGATGTGCCCTGCCTGGGGATTGAAACAGAGGCCTCTCAGTGCACGGTCAACGCTCGATCAGCTGAACCACACTGGCCAGGGCTGGATAATTTTTATTTTTCCTTTTTGACATGTTTGTATTTTCTGTTTGAACAGTTATAATGAGAAAGGAAAAACCCACTGATGTCTGCTAGTAGGGCCACCGCACCTAGGCAGGCAGGCGGGCTGTACACTGTTCAAGGACGCCTGGCAGGGGAGTGGAAATCCAGCCTGGCATCCTACCCAGAAGGGGCAGCTCTGTACGTGACCATGCCCACAAGGGTCTTCCTCTCCCCCAGGTTACGAGCCCCTGGCCCCGCTCCCCCCAGCCGCCGCCTCTGTGCCCGTGTGGCAGGACCGCACCATCGCCTCCTCCCGGCTGCGGCTCCTCGAGTATTCCGCCTTCATGGAGGTGCAGCGAGACCCTGACACGGTAATGTGGCCGGGGTGGGGGCGAGGGGAGGCCCTGGCTCAGGCTCAGGCGGTGGGCAGTCCTGTCCCTGTGCAGCCCCCACCCCGGGCCCGCACTGGCAGGTGCTCTCCTGACCCGGTACTGGGCCCTCCCCACAGTACAGCAAACACCTGTTTGTGCACATCGGCCAGACGAACCCCGCCTTCTCGGACCCGCCCCTGGAGGCAGTTGATGTGCGTCAGATCTACGACAAGTTCCCGGAGAAAAAGGGTGGACTGAAGGAGCTCTATGAGAAGGGCCCCCCTAATGCCTTCTTCCTTGTCAAGTTCTGGGTGAGCTGCCCCGGCCCCTCCCTCCCCGGCAGCCCCTCCCCCAGGTGTGCAGTGCCCCTGGGCCCACTCCACTGACCACTGCTCTCCCGTGGCCTGGGGGCAGCGCCGGGATGGGGCGTAGGCAGGACGCTCACGTGGCGCAGGGAAGCCTCCCTCGGTCCTCCAGCACCCAATGCCCCGCCTGATGCCCCGCCTGATGCCCCTCCTGCAGGCCGACCTCAACAGCAACATCCAGGAGGGCCCGGGAGCCTTCTATGGGGTTAGCTCCCAGTACAGCTCGGCCGACAGCATGACCATCAGCGTCTCCACCAAGGTGTGCTCCTTTGGCAAGCAGGTGGTGGAGAAGGTAGAGGTGAGGCCAGAGGTGTGGAGCTCTGGGCCATTGAGCGTCCAGGCACCTGCTGATTTGGGGGTGTAGAGTAAATGGACCAGGAGCCAGGACAGCTCAGGCATTGGGGGAGTCTTCATGGCAGGGTGCGGGTGTCCTAGCCTCTTTGGGGGTTTAATGTGTAAGCTTAGAGCTAATATGGAGTTCTAAAGTCATAGTCACATATAGGGGTCACTTTGAGGGTTCAAAGGTAACATGTGGGACAGAGATTTAGTGACTAAGATTCAAAAGGTTCTTGTGAATCTGGAAGAGTTCAGGGGTCACAGTTGGGCTGCTGAGGACTTGTGGGGTCTAAAGTTCAGAGGTCACAGAGTTTGGAGATCTGATTAAAGGGCCTTTGGAGGATTTGAGGGTATCGGAGGTCAGAGGAGCTCGGAGGTCATTGAGGGTTCAGAGCCCAGCTTTGAGGGGCTATGGGGAGTGTCTCTAGTTTTCAGGCTCAGTGATCCTGAGTTGGACACCCAAGGGTTCAGGCTCCCGTCTCTGGTGACTGCGGATGGGGCAGTGGAAGAGGGAGGATGGTAGTCAAGAGTGAGTGTGGCAGTTGAGAGGCACAGAGTGAGGCTGGGTTCCTGGGGTGACCCCTGTGTGTCTCAGTCNGGATTCCTATGTACCCTTTCCCCATGTTATTTTAGTTTGGGGTCAGGATTGAGTCGTCACCTAGCCCATCTTCCCTATTCCTCTATGTCTTGAAGAGCTCCTCCTCCAGTGCTCACTTTCTGAGTATTGGAGCTCAAGATGGATGATCCCTCTGCTGCCCCTTGAGCCTCTGTCACTGACAGAGGAGGGAGGCTCTGTTATCAAGGGCCTCCAGGCCTTCTGCCTTTTCCTTCCCACTTAAGAGTCAGTGGGCCATGGAGCTTCCCAGTGCAGTTGGGCCTGGGCTGGATATGGTCAAAAGAGAGTCTAAGCCCTGCTGTCCCCTGGGTCCTGCAGACAGAGTATGCTCGCTATGAAAACGGCCACTACTCCTACCGCATCCACCGGTCCCCACTCTGTGAGTACATGATCAACTTCATCCACAAGCTGAAGCACCTGCCCGAGAAGTACATGATGAACAGCGTCCTGGAGAACTTCACCATCCTGCAGGTGAGGGGCGCAGAGCTGTGGGGGTCCTGGGAGGGCCCCAGGCATAGGGGACCCAAAGGGGAGGTAGCCAGACCCGTTCTCAGAGAAAGAGACTGAGCCCCGGGGGGAGCGGGGACTGCTCAGCCCCCACACCCTGTGGTGCCTGACCCCCTGAATCTTCCTGCGTGGCCTCCAGGTGGTCACGAGCCGAGACTCCCAGGAGACCCTCCTCGTCATTGCTTTTGTCTTCGAAGTCTCCACCAGTGAGCATGGGGCCCAGCACCACGTCTACAAGCTCGTCAAAGACTAGGGTGCCCTCTGCCCCACCACCAGGATCCAGGAGGAGCATCTTTCTCACACACCTGCCTGGCACCCCTGGGGGCCAGGATTGAGGATTCATCTGCCTGCCAGGCCTCAGGCCCAGGACCCAGGAGGCCTCCCCACCTACCCCCAGCACACACACCCTGCCACTGTTCTGCGCTTTAATTGTGGGAGAAGAGGGGGGGGCTCAGCGGTGGGGCAGCCTGGCTGGGTCGCTGAGCCACCATCACCTGGTTCTGCCCAACCTCAACTGAATGGGAATACACCTCTGGGCTCCGGTGTGTGTGGCCACTGGCCCTTCGGGAGTGTGACAGGCAAGTAAGGGAAGACTGGAGGGGAGGCCGAGTGTAGAGGCAGGAAGGAATGTGGAGCTGGAGTTGGGCTGAGAGGAGAGGGGCCCGCACTGTCTGCACCTGCTGTGTGCCAGGCCCCCGTGTGCCTTGTGCCATCCTGTGACCCTGCGAGGCAAGCGTGGGTCTCGGTGTCTCAGACGAGGAACCTGTGGGCAGGGGGCAGAGTTGGAGCTCTCCCCCAGGGCCCAGGTTTACACTACCTCCCTGCCTCAGGCCGGCCCCAGCGGGTGGGGAGAGGCTCTACACTGAGGCACTGGGGCCAGCTGGGGTGGGGCCCCCTGACGGGGGAAGCAGCTGCTTCTGACCAGGCAGGGAAGGGGAGCAGCAGGTACTCGACGCTTGTTGAGCACCCTCTGTCAGCCCACGATCTCGCCGGGGCCTTGGGAGCCTCCTGCTCCACCTCCCCAGCTGCCCTGGCCCAGGTCCTTTGCCAAGTCCCCCAGCGGCCTCCTGGTGGGGGAAGCCCCCCAGCCTCCGGGGGCAGGCCCAGGCTCAGAAATAGGCTGGAGGGTCAGGTAGGAAGGTGGAGTCCCAGCCTCTGGCAGACCTGTGGCCCTGGGACAAGGGGCAGCAAAGCCTCTGATCTTTTCTCTGGCCTAAGACTGTGGTTTGGTGAGCCCTCCGCGGGTGCCACGACCTTGTGTCCCTCCCCTCGCCAGTCTCCCTGCGGGAGCAGCAGCTCCCCAGACCCCGTTCTGGGACTGAAGGTTAACCCTGCCTGCTGCCCCTTCCCGCCACCCAGGCCCCGCCGCTCGGCCTCCAGCCTCCGGGTATTTATGAGTTTCATATGAAGTACTGTGCCCTTCCCTTCCTTACCTCCCCCTGCCCCGCCCCTGAGCTTCCTGAAGGTCCTCACAGTTTGCATATTGCTCAGGCCACCTCCATACCCAACCTAGGTTTTATAATGTATATTATATATTTTTTGTGTATTTTTTAAATCCAGCTGTGATGGGTTATATCATAAATGTGGCACAGGGCTGGGGCAGGCGCCCTCAAGACCTGCTCAAAAAAGAAATTAAAATTATTTGTTTGTGGGTTAGTCATGTGACCAGTCTTGTGCCAGGCCTCTGGGTTGGAACAGCTTCAGGCGGGCTCTCCTAGGTTAGGTCCTGGTGTGTCACCTCCCTCTCCCATCTTTGCTGGGGGACCCTAAGCTCTACCTACAGTCAAAATAGGTATGATGCTGGGGTCCCATGAAAGCTTCCAGCTCCGACGGTTCTCCACACCCCTCCTGCCATTAGTTGCGCACTGAACTGAGCCCAGCGCCGAGCCCTGCCCTGAGTTTTCCTGTTGTTCTCTCACTCTCTCTTTTTACAGAAAAGCCATTTATTTTGTCTTATGATCTAAAATTCAAACTAAGGACTACCTTTGGCGTTTTTCTGCTTTGGGGGACCAGTTACTTGGATGGAATAGCTTTTTCCCCCCCAAAGATGATTATTATTATTACTGATTTTTAGAGACACAGGAAGGGAGAGAGAAATATCGATGTGAAAGTGAAATGGGTGGAATAGCTTTGTCTCTAAGTGAAGTGACTTGCCGATCACATACCTGCTGAGATGGGCTCCAGTCTTCCAGTGTCCGCTACTGTTCTCACCGTCCTGACCTCTGCTCCTGAGGAAAGAGCCTCAAGGACAGTGGGTGCTCTCCCAGGTGGATGGTGGCTAACAGGGGAGGTCAGGCTCCAAGCTGCCCCTGTCCTCCTGGAAAAGCACACGCCAGGGACCACAGGGTGGTGGTGGGGAGACCACATCCTCGGTGGACATGGGATAAACAGATTGAGGTTACTCCCACTCAGCCAGTCGGTGGCAACACCAGGTTTGAACGTGCTCTGCCTGACTCCAAGTCCATACACCTGCTGTACTACTTCAATAGTCAGGTGGCCTTTTCTTGGGCCGCTGCATTGGAGGGACTCCAGACTGTCACTGGTAGGATGGGGAGGGTAACTGGAGCTCCAGCCAGGTGGGAAGGGGCTCTGGAGGCAGAAATTGGTTTATGAAGGACACACCGTGTGCCAGGCCTGGGGCTGGGTGCAAAACCTAATGTCTGCACTAATAAGCNGCAGGTGGTGGGAAGGGGCTCTGGAGGCAGAAATTGGTTTATGAAGGACACACCATGTGCCAGGCCTGGGGCTGGGTGCAAAACCTAATGTCTGCACTAATAAGCGATGACATCTATTGGGTGCTTCAAGCGTCATCACATACGTGGGTTGTTGCCTTCGCTACTCCTGATTAGCCTTCAGGTAACTTCTTTAAGAATCGTGTGGTTCTCTCATGCAGAAAATCTAAGGTTGCGGAGTAGGGAAGGAGCCAGGATAAGAAGGTAGCTTACCCTGGCCGGGTAGCTCAGTTGGTTAGAGCGTCACCCCCTACGCCAAGGTTGTGGGTTCGATCCCTGGTCAGGGCACATACAAGAGGCAACCAATGAATGCATAAGTAAGCGAAACAAATCAATACTTTTTCTCTCAAATCAATAAATAAAAATTAAATATACTTAAGAGAAGAAGAAGATGGTGAGCCTTGCGAGCCCAAAGCCCAGACCTCTCCTGGAAGTGGCTCTCCCCTGCTCGTGTTCTTTGGGAAGCTGTACGGAAGGGCCAACAAAGCTGGAGCCCAAAGAAGGGGCCTGTAGTTCTGTCTCCTGCTTTTCTGTTTCTCTGTTCTGATGTTTCCTGGGGAAGGGGAGGGTTACCATCTTTTTGTCAATTCCACAGTCAAAGCCAGAGCACTGTCCTGGGGGTTCATGAGGGCTCCTCATTTCTCTGCAGCACATCTGCTGGAAAACTGGGGCTCCCCAGATATCTGAACCCTGAATTCTAACTCAGGTGCACACTGAGCTCTGGACTAATCATCCTGGAGGCTGGGATTTGATGAAAACAGCTCAACCCTCATTTACAATAGAGTCTGTCCCCACACGTGTTTGCTTTCCCATCTTTTCTTCCCTATGGTGCTGGGTCCTCTCGAGGGCAGCCACCGTGTCTGAACAGATTCCCCAGAGTCCAGCCGAAAGTGGTGAGTCTGTTTAGTGGAGAGTTGGTTTTCAAGGACTCAGCCCAATGCATAAGGCTCAGATTTATAAAGTGGAGGTTTGATTTAAATCCGTGTTCATATCAATAATGGAGGAAGATTCAAGCTCCCTAGTTCCAAAACACACCCCTTTACCTTGTGGATTGCCCCTACTCAACTGTCCTACACCCGACGGACACCGTGTACCAGGTCCAGTACTTTATGTATGTGGCTCTAAGAATTTACCATTTTTTCACTGCTGTTTAACTGAGCACTAAGTGCCTGGCACGTAATGCTTAAGTTGGCACTACTGTCTTTCAGGTAGGTACCATCATCGCCTGCACTTCCAAACAAAACAAGAGTTTTAGAGACGTGAACAGTTTGGGGATTCACTCGGGCAGTGGGGGCACCTTCAGCCCACAGGCAGTCACATGGCTGGTCTTCTTGCACCCAACAAATGGAGTGCGCGTCTGAGGTCACGAGAAACCTCCAAAACCCCTTGGCTCTACGACATTGCTCACGACAGGACCCCTGTGGGTGCAGATGGCTTTCTGGCGCTCACAGAGGTGGATTGCACCTGGGTGCCCCTTAAGGCCCTCAGGAATGGCCACCACAGGTACAGCTGGGCCCCACCTGTTTGTTTTATGCCTTTAACTCATAGCTCTATTTTAACTGTACTCAGTGCCCTGTGGCAGAGACAAGGCATAAAATATATTCACACTTGTTACTTTCCTATTACATTCCTATAGTCACCAAACCTTACATTTTCTTGCCCTATTTTAAGTATTGCCTTTTTTTCTTGATTACAGATTATAGGACTTCAGAAATTCCCCAAAATCATTTAACTTCGAGTTAAACATGGTCAAATTTTATGTAAGCTTGCAATCATTTTTACTATGCATAAACACTTCAATAAAATTGGGTCCTAATTTTACAGCCAGTAGGTAAGGGAACATTGTTCAACAAGCCTATTTTATTACTAATACTGAACAGACTGGAGAAAAAAGCAAGCCAGATGTACCCTGAGAACCAAGTCATTGCTCATCTGATTAGTGTAGGTATTTTACCCAGTTTTTTGTAATTGAGAGGGAGATAAAAACATCAATCATGTGAACCATAGATCAGCTGCCTCTTGTACACCTCACCACTGGGGTTTGATCCCACAACCCGGGCATGTACCCTGACCAGGAATTGAACCCTGACCTTCTGGTTCATAGGTGAATGCTTAACTACTGAGTACACCTGCCAGGCTTTACTCAAATATAACTTAAAACTAAAATGGCAAAGAAACCAGTCAAGCTCTATGGTGAGAACCTTGTACACTTCTTGATTCAAGGTCAGATAAAGTTTGTTTTGAGGTGCAGCACTTTTATTTATGCTTTGGATTAGCCTTTCAGCTGTTGAAACTGGTGGGATGAGCTGGTTCCCTCGCTTACCAATGTTAAATGAAGCAGATTCATGTTAAAGGTTAAATCACAGGTGTTTCCCAGTATACCCAGCCACTGTTGCAGGGCCCAGCACTGGAAGAACTGCAAAAGGGAAGTCCCCTCAGGTCAAGGAAGGGGGCAGAGCTTGCAAGTTTAACAGCCCAAATTCTACCCATTTGCTCCCCCTCAAAAGACCAGCAAGGCCCACAAATTACAATATTGCACAGATCTTCTACTTGTATTTTCCTACATAGGTTTTTCAATTTGAGGTCAGACAAGCAAACATTAGACCAATCTCTCAGGGTTTGTGGGCTACTCCCATCAGCACCTAGGAACCCAATCTTCATTTGTCACAACCTTGTGATCCTATAGACCAAGACCTCAGATGCATGATTTAAAGGACTAAAAAAACCGAAACAAAAAGCTCACACTATGAACCTGATATAAAGGGAAGCAACCCCAGGCCTCCATTAAGCAAGGTGCCGAGTCAGTGTCCCCATGTGAAGCTTCTCCACTCGCAAGCAACAGGAGCACACAGGCTGGAGTCCTGGTCCTGACCTGCCCTCTCTCAGGGTTATTAGAAAAGCTTCAGTCCTGGTTAGCTGTTGCACTTTGACGAGTTATAAACATCCAAGAGATTGGAATAAAACTGCATGGTTTTGAGGGCAGAAAGAACCCTTCCTGGTTTATAGTATGGGTAAAGTGACTACCCATCAGTGTGCTGTGGCATGCAGTGCCAACTTACAAGGCACCCGCCTCCCCCCAGTCAGAGAGACAGAGGTAACTGCAGCAGTATGGTTTATTTGTGCCTTAGTACAGGCGCTGGGGCTTGCCCATGGTGCTCTTGATGTACAAAGCCCGGACGTTCTGCCAATTCTTTTTGAGCAATGACACCAGGAAATTGACAGCTAAGTGGATGTTGTACACAAGCTCATCGTCTGTCATCTTCACGTGGCCAACAGCCACTGCCAGACACAGCACCTGTGGGGAAGAGGAAGGTCAAATCATGGTGGCCAGATGGAAGAGAACATGGGAAAAGTGAAACACCTACAAGGCAGACGGCCCGTTCATCCCTCCCAGTGACAGTGAGCAGTGCTTTGGCCCCAGGCCCTGAAAAGCTCCAACCATGTTCTGTGACAATCGCATGTCCAAAGCATCATAGACATGCAAACCAGGGCTACCATTTTAAGAACGTGGGCCAGTGCCAGGGCCCTGCCACCACCACCACCACCACGGCTTAACCTAAGCACCAGCCAGACTTCCTTACCTTCTTCATCTGGAACTTGATTGTGGATTTCACTTCATCGACTTTGGCCACCATGTTCTCATTGTGGGTCAACAAGGAAGGGAACTTCCCAGCCTTATTCAGGCCTGGGCCCAGGATTCGTGGAATCTGCTTGATCAGAGACTCCGAAGCCAAAAAGGCATCATACTTCTTGGCTGGTAAAGAAAGCAAGCCACTGGATGCTTAGGACCCTGAAGCCCGACCTCCAAACAGGACCCTACGATGGAGCCACAGAAGTGGTCCCTGACCAGCACACTCTACTGCTCTCCAGGTACCAAGTCTTTTCACTCCTTTCCTCACTCCAGTTTGGTGGTCTCCACCCTTTGGACTTCTACTGGTCCAACATTCACAGAAAACCTGGTATCGGAAGCCAGGGTGACCCACAACCCACGTTGCAATGGAAAACACTCTGCCTAATCCTGCCTTCCTACTTTCTCACTACATGACAGCTGTGGCATCCGCTTCCTACCTGTACAATGCTCAGACCACAGAGACTAAAAAGAAGAGTTTGAAGTAGGCATTCCAATTCAGAACACCAGCACCCGACTAGTCAACTGACCTCACCTGCTGAGAACCACGCTTAGCCTCCTTTCCTTCTAAAATTCAATCCTCAAAGCCAATTTAAAAATAACTCTAACGCACGTTAACCCACCACTGCACAATTCTACCCTCCTTTATCATTTAAAAATCCAAATGGCTTAAGTACCGCTTTTCTACCGCTGCCGCGAGCACTGCCTGCCCGCCCCACC